GTGTCTCATCTGTTGTGTTGTTTTTTGCTTTTTCTATTTTTAGCTGAGATTCCAATCTTGCGATTTCTACTGTTTGATCCTTCAACTTCGCCTTTGAATCTTCAATAAATATATCTTTTTATACCAATAAATGGTGAAAAAAAACGGACACTTCTCTATTTCATTGTGCATCTTAATTTATTCTAATTCTAGTCCAAGTCATATTGTGTTTGAAATGCTACTAATTAAAATAAAACAATCAACACAAATCAATGCAAAATACAACGGAATTTTTAAACAAAAAAAACTTTTGACTAAATCTATATTTTAACAAAACTTTGAAAATATTTTTCAATACCGAGATATTTCTTATTCATAAATATCCACATAAAGGTTTTTAACCTCCTTTCTGTGCCAAGAAAATTGTCAGGATCAGGAACTTAGTAATGTGACATCAGGGAGCTGACAGAGACGTCAAAGGACATCAGGGGATAAACAGTGGTAACGGGTGCAAAAGCAGGGATCGTCAGGGAGTAGACAATGGTAACAGGGACAAAAGCAGGGGTCGTCAGGGAGTAGACAGTGTAGTCAGGGATACCAACAAGGATTCTTTGGAGAATGTCACAAAGAGACAGGAAAATGTCAGGGGATTTATTGGGATCTTTGCGGAGAGAGCCATTACGGTAGTGAGTGTTAGGGACCTCAAATCTGTTTTAGGATGATGGCCCTGGTGTCTCTGAGTATTAAACTTGTTAAGAGGTGTGTCACAATTATCTACAATTCAGTATTATCTACTTGTATACAGACTTAAAATGGATCAAAACTAAAACGAATGGTGACGCCCTTTTTCTAAATTGATAATCGTACAATATTACAAATATAAAATTTTAAGAATTTGATAATAATGAAATTGAATATTCCATTGAAAAAAAAAACGAAAGTTAGGAAGTCATCTAGAATATCAGATGTGAGATGAAGCGCAACAGAGGAGTACATGTAGTCAACAGGTCACGGTCATCCTGGGCTCCCTGTCAAGATCTGAAAAACAAAAAGCTCCATAGAAAATTCAGTGTGAAAATAACGTCTTAACAATTTGTATGAAAAATGTCAGCCAACACACCAGGTACGTAGCAAGGGAGGGGGTGGGGGGGGGGGGGTCGGCATGGGTACTGAAAGAAGTTGGCATTGAAAAGATTGGCCTTTAACACCCCCCATCCACCCACGAAATAGGATTTTCGACTTTGGGCGATTTTTTTTTTATATTTTGCTTGTCAACTTTTTCACATGTTCTGAGATCCCAAAGAAAGTGTCCAAGTTCAATTTGAAGGTAACATGTCCTGAGTTTTCAAAGAAAGTCTCCAAATTTCATTTTGGAATTGTTTTACGATAATCATTTCGGTTTAATATTGGTAAAACCATCAATCTTGTCAGTTAAAGAATCTTTAAAGAAGTGTTTTAACTCAAAGGCTGGTCACATGTGCCTTGGTATTGGACGACTATATATAGACATTTCATGCAGATTGTTAGACCTTTGTTTTATACTGAAAGTGATTTTTTTTCAGTAAAAATAAAAAAACAAACAAATAATATAGGCATTGCTTATTATTTTATTTAATAAAAATATTAGTAAAATTGATTGGTGGGCGAACTCCTGAGCCCAGACCAAGATTTTTCCATTAAAAAGTTTTTCGAGCTTTCGAATTGCAGGAAAGATGAAGAATTTAGATTTTTTTTCTGCAATTTGTTCAAATATCAACACATGTTGAAATAGAACTGTTAAAAACTTTCCATTTCGCTGCTCTGCAGTTTAATTTTTAAGATAATTTGAGTTTTTTTTTTCAATTACACATGAGTCTTGTCAAAGTTTTTTTTTTCTTGTATTTTTTTAATCAACTGCATGAACCTCCCCCCCCCCCTTTTCGTGTCATTTTGGAGGGGGGAAACAAGTCTTAGTTGATAGAAGTTGAATGGTCGAATTTAAATGTTTGCATCTAAGCACTGTGCATCTCAGCTATGAAAATAAAAGCTTGAGAATAATCTTTAAACAAGGCATTGAAACCCTTAAAATTATATTGCATGATTTTCTTTTAATTAGGGGGTGGAGGTGGGGTGAAAATATTATAGTACAATTAAAATCTTACAATTATTCCAACAGTTAAATTACATAACATCCGTCAATGATATATTTAAAAGAAATTTAAATGTTTGCAAAATTCATTTCAGCTAAGCACTGTGCATCTAAGCTTTATGAAAATAAAAGCTTCAAGGAGAACGATAATCTTTAAAATTTCACAAGGCATTGAAACCCTTAAAATTATTTATTGCATGATTTTAAAATTTTAATTTTAACATATATGGAGGTGGGGTGAATATTTCACCGCATATTTATAGTACAATTAAAATCTTCTATTATATAAACATACAGAGAGAAAATTAATTCTGTATGAAGTTTGTAACAGTTAAATTACATAATAAATAAGTCAAATGATAGCTATTTTATTTTAAATGTATATTTTTCAAAGTTTTGGGGCTATCGATAACCTGTGTACATAGAGAAAACTAGGAATAGCGTTTGTTTACATTTTTCTTCACTTTTGTCAGCTGCACAGTCTCTAATGTTCAATTTTTTGGATAGACCTTTGGTTAAATTTTCAGGATAAACTTTTAATCTTTAAATTTTACAATAAATGTGTAAATCTGTTGGAAAATATCTTTGCAATCATGCCATGAACAGCTGCCAAACACCTCGGCGTTTTCGTAGAACAGGTTACTTTCAATGTAAAGCTGTCGCCATAAACAATAAGTATGCCTTTAGTGAAACCGGGAATGTTTTTGATCAATGCAAATTAACTGGCTCGGACAAGTGTCTCAAACCATCTTCCATCCCTTTCCAGCGACCGAAATTACTCCAACTTTTTTCATCAAACTTCGGAATTGTGTCTTTTCAGATTTATCATTTTTCACGAATAAAATATTCCCAGACAACAATCTGTTCACTATTACTGATCACATGTAGCCTTTCACAAAATATTCCCTTCGAAATAGATTCCTCAGCCTGACAAATTCGATGCGTAACCGCCATGCAAGCCGATTTACACCTTGCGTATTTTTCAAAATCTACACATTTTATTGCAATAATTTAAATTCGAAAATATTCAATTGTCAGTCTCAAATGTATATATAAGTAATAAATAACAAGTTTATAAACTTCAATGGGAATTGTTTATGAAACTTCTGAGAAGGCCTTCGGCCTTCACAGGATTTGATCACGTGACCGGTTTTATCACCCATTATTTATAAACTTGTTACATTGAAGTGGGTCGGTCACGTGATCAAATCCTGTGAAGGCTGAAGACCTTCTCAGAAGATTTGATCACGTACCGACCTACTTCAATTCCCACTGAAGTTTATAAACTTGTTATTTATTACTTATATGTACATTTGAGACAGACAATTGAATATTTGCGAAACTATTGCACTAACCGTCCGTCGTAGATTTTGAAAAATGACGCAAGGTGTAAATCGGCTTGAATGGCGGTTACGATTTGAATTCATCAGGCTCAGGATTTTATTTCTAAGGGAATATTTTGTGAAAGGCTACTTGTGATCAGTAATAGTGAACAGATTGTTGTCTGGTAATATTTTTATTCGTGAAAAATGAAAATCAATGCTGAAAAGACACGAGAAACACGTCCGAAGATCGATGATAATAAAAAGTCGGTCGCCGGAAAGGGGTGGATGGATCCGATGGATGGAAACACTTGACCGAGCCAGTTCATTTTGCCATCAAGTATTAAATTCAATCTACGATTTCATTAAGTAAAGGCATATTTATGATGAAAACACGGAGACACTGGCGACAGCTTATTGTTACGACAACACCGAAGTGTTTGTCAGCTGTTCGTGGCGTGATTGCAATGCGATGATATTTTCCAAAAGATTTACACATTTATCGTGAGTAGAATTTAATGAAAAAATTATAGTTCTTCATGGAATTTTAACTAAAGGTATAGGCGTCGGAACCGGGGGGGGGGGGGGGCTAGGGGGGGGGCTTAGCCCCCCCACTTTTTTTTCCAAATATATACTTAGTATAGGATTTATAGGATTTTCGTGTTTGGGAAATAGACATTTCCCCCCTTTTTTTTTCTTTTGCTTGTCAGGTTTTTTTGGAGTACAATTTTTTTTTTTTACACTTAGCCCCCCCCCCCCCCCCACTTTCAATTTGCTTCCGACGCCAATGAAAGGTCTCCCCCAAAATAAGGATAAACGCTAAAGACTGTGCAGCTGACAAAAGTGACGTAAACAAACGCTAGGTTTTATGTGAGTACTGTGTATTCTCTATGTACGCAGGTTTAGTCAAAAAATGTATGAAATACTCGTTTACATTGTAAATAAAATAATGATTATTTTACTAGCTTATTTTGTTCATTTTTTATACATGAATTATCAAAAGCAAGCAGAGCAAATCATTTTATAATATATGTACCGGTAGATATAATTGCACCGTGTGATTAAGGGTGCGTATTGACCTCTGACCTCTGACAAACTTCATACAGAATTGAAGATATTTGTTCTCTGTATGTTTATATTTAAAAAGGAAAAATACCACAGATTATGCATAATTTTTATAGGGTGAAACAAATATGAGTTCTTAGGTCGGAGGCCACGTGACGATGACTTCATTATGACATCACAATACTGCTTTGTTTGCGAAAGCCATTGACACAGACAAAGAAACAGTAAGTAACGCAAATATTTTAAGAATGTTACATTTTTAATTATAGACAAATATGATGTATTGTATGTGTAATAGAATGAAAAGGATATTTTTTATGAATTGCAACTTACTAGATTAGTATTTTTCTAATTAAATTTGATAGCTCAAGCAGGAGCCGTAAAGTCAAGGAAAATTGATCTAAAGCTGTCCGAAGATAAAAATTCTTTATTTAAAAGCCTGAAACCAACTGATTAAACGTTACCTTTTAATCACATAAAAAATAACACATACATTCAAGTTTGATTTTTTTTTCTACGAAAAGAGAGTAATTTCTAAAATATTCAGAGGTATTGTTACGTCAAGCTCGAGGTCTTTAGTGATGACCTATGACGTCATAATATAGTTTTGTTTACACGAATGTCGAGATCAGTTTGAGTAAGTCTCTGCTGTGAATTTTCAATCGTGTACAAGAAGAGCAGTTTTGTTTTCCAGGAAGCAAAATGAAAAGAGAAGAACAGATAGAGATAATTTTGACTGCATTAGCCTGTCGATCTGCAGGTGTGCCAGAGGACATGCTACCTCTACCTCAAGTAAGGCTAATATTGAAAAAGTTACCCACCCATCCACCCCTGAAAAGAAATGAATTCATTGTAAAATAAAATTAATACCCCAAATTGTGCAGTTTCTAAAGTACTATCAAGGTTAAAGTATTTGTGATGGGGTGATATTGAATAAGAAAAGTCGTCATTTTTCAATAAAGCATTTCACATTTAAAATACATTAGAGTTTACTTTTTTGAAAAGTTATCAATGTATTATTTTTTTTTCTACAGAACTACGAGGAGATCCTGGACTTTGGCGAAGAGCCAGTAAAAGACTCAGTAAGTAGTTTACTTTCAAAATTTTTAGTACAAAAATAATAATTTTATATATTCATTAATATATAACTGCCAAGACATGTCATTCTGACCTTGGTAATGAAAACCACTGGATTGGCTGTGTTCCTGCATTATAATTCTGTTAGAGGCCACCTTCTTTCAGTACCATTTTTTCCCACAAAAATACTACATTACCCTTATTTAACTATACTGTAACAAAAAGGGGGAGGTGGCAATTTTAACTGGACTTTCAATTTACATTTACTTAAGTACAAAAAGTAGAGAGTCTACCCCCTCCCTTTGATTCTATTTGTAGTAGGCCCTTAAAACACAGGGGGGTCTTCCCACTTATTTCTCAGTATATATATAGTTTTTTGCTGTAGTATTAGCATCAGCATATACATTTTATTTAGATCGATGCTGATCCTTTTTTTGTTGGTGTGAGGCTGAACATTGATAATTTCTAGCATTAAGAATGTTGAGTTTAGACTTGCTTGTTTTAACAGTCAGATTTTTGTGAGGGCTGGGTTCGGTTAGGATTTCACATTAGTTTCCCTTTTTAAAACCCTCGCTACTATTGCCATAGTCCTGTAGAATGTAATACACTGTTTGATGTTACTTTTCAGAAATCTAAGTTAGAAATACTGAAATTCAGTCATAATTGGTGCGACATGGTGGAGGAAGAGGAAGTTCGACAGGTACAATATAAATTGTTATAATGTTGTTTTCTATATCAAAAGGTCTGAGAAAAGAGACCCTACAATACAAAGTAAGTTGCTTCATTTCATTTATGAATTATTAATATTATAATTCCCATGTTTTTTTTTTTACTTTCAATGACATTTATATTTTTTTATTTAGGAAAATGCATTGAAAGTAGAGTTAGAGAAACAGAAAATCCGACCCCAGATAAAGGCCAATCAAGAAATGCTGAATGAGTTGAAGGTAGATCTAGTAATGCTTTAGATTGTTTTTTTTTCTTTTCAAATTTATAAGGCAGCCAGACAATATGAACAGTAATTCAAGAAGATAACTTTGTAAGTGGACAGGGCTTTGGGTTTCATATTTCAAAAATGTATTCCTTGTGACAAGACCTTTCCTAGGGTACCACCAAATTTGACCTCTTGAACTTTGTGTTTGGCCTAAAATTTTCAAATTTTAATCTTAGCTATAACTTTGAACAGTTGGTGCTAGGGCTTTCATATTTTACATATGTATTCATTTATCATATTTTTGATATTTTTAACACAGACAGTTGTGTCCATGATGGAATTAAAAAGACTGGAGATCCAACAACAAAAGGAATTAACAAAGAGCATGTTGACAGGGCTAAAGGTATGTATTCAACCAAAGCGAAATATGTAGAAAAACATGTTAAATGTTTGAACTATTGTACTTTCCGACTGTCAAATGCAATGACATTAACAATTATAAACTTTAAAATGAGTTAAATTCTTCTATGATTCTATTTCATCATTAAGTTTATAAACACATTTTTAAAACATTTAATCTAATTAATGGACTGCTCATATTAATAAATTTAATCTAACATTAAGAGAATTTATGTAAACCCACTGACAATAGTTTAACTCTGTTTGATATGAAGAAACAAAATCAAGATTAAGTGAATTGAAAAATGCCATTTATTTGCATTATAAATGACTGTATGAAAAATCACAAAATATTATGCATATAAACATATAATGCAGAATCAGAAAAATTGAACAATTGAAAATATAATCAATTTTGTTTCAATAGATATCAAAGGTGGGGTATAAAAATTCGCAAACACCACAATCGTACATATTTTTAGCAAACTAAAACATAATCATGACAAACTATTCTAAAAGAACATGTATCACAAAAAACCAATCAAAGATAACTATGCTGACACGGCAATAATTACAGATGGTGTTGGGGCGGGACGGAGGGCAATTAAAATTACAGCAGAATTTTTGTTTCCGCGTTCACTGACAAGGCTCTGTGAGGGAATGGTGAAAGGCGTGAGAACCCGCGCGCATATCTTAGCATCCGACGGCCGAGCCTATAAATCATATCAATTTACAGAAAAATCTTCGAGAATTGCTTTAATCTCACGAATAAGAAATTTTGGGATTAAGAAACTTAATTGATAGCATGGGTCTGCCGTGTCAGATGTTTTACATAAATTAATTTAAGGATGTAAATTAAATATTTATGCAAGTTTTAAAATATTTGAATGCACAGGATAAAAATATACTTTTAGGAAGAGGTGTCCAGAAGGGTGGAGAGAAGAGTAATGAAAGAGAAACAAAAGATAATATGGAGATCAATTCACCAAGAGATGATGGTAGATTTTTTATTTTGTTCAACAGCTTTGTCACCCATTCTCAATATAAGGGCTCAAATGATGTCGCCTCATTTTCATTTAGAAGAAATACCACTGATGTAATTTTTAAATCAACATGATAAATAGTCATATAACAATGAATAAGAATTCATATAATTATCGATCTGAAAGGGTATTTAAGGAGTTCCAAATTCAAATATAGTAGCCTATTTGAAATGTACGTTACTGTCGCCGAGGCAAATATTATGCTGAATCCCCTCTGTGTAATATATAGTTTTGATTCTCAAGTAAAAATTTTCTGATAAGTTAAACCTTGTATCATATATATATCTTTTCATAACAATGAATACATTTTCTTTGTGATAATAAATAATTTTTATTGTGCAATGTCCCTGTCGCTTAATTCTATTTCAACCACATTACAAGCAAACACAAAGATTATACACCTGATAGTTTTGTTCTCTTTTATTTATTGATGGGCTATATTTGAAATTTCAAAGGATTAATTACTCCTACTTAGATAATGTAACATGAAATTGAACAATTTGAGCAACTTTTATAAATATGTTTACGGAATGAAAGACATTCTCAATCGTAGAGATAAGAAAGAAATGTACGTTACCTATATTCTTCCATTAAGAATATATATTAAGTAGAAAATATGATTTAAGCAACCCCTTGTATCCTGTAAACTGTCAAAGCATTTTGCTTAACACAATTAAAAATTATTTTTTACATGAAAAGTGATCATTTGAAATGTACGTTACTGAAATGTACGTTACCATGAAATTCGAATTAAGTGAATCTCGCACGAATTTTCATGTATTCTCATACTTTCACACACTCGAATGTGTACACAAAGGAAAGTTTCAAAGGTTGGAGGTCGGCTAAATCCCAAAATTAATGAAAAGAAACGTTTCTGTTGAGGAAAAAAAATATATTAAGGTCAATTATATGTAATACAATTTTGATACCTGGTATATATTTCTGAATACGAAACCTGTACGATGCATTTCTTATGATATGCAAGTTCAAATAGTATCAATATATTGTGTGTCTAACGTACGCTTGTGGAAGAGAATTGATTTTTATATTTGAAATGTACGTTACGTATGGTAACGTACATTTTGCGTATTTCTAACTTACATTTTTTTTATTTAGTCAATGAATTGTGTTTACACGAGCGAAACAAAATTATTGTTACAATCCATTTGACAACTGACTACATAAATCCATCTAAATGCACCCCCAATCCTCGTAAATGTGGTAGACTGTTACCACATGCTAGAAAATTTATTTCTAAGTGTCTTAAATTCATCTTTGACAACCTTTTTGCAGTTTGTTTACTTTTAATATGCGACTTTTCGTCAATATCAATTTAATTGTTGTTGATAATTTAAAACAAGGTATGCATAGGCTTATAATTAATTAAAAAAAAGAAAAAAAAAAAGAAAAAGAAACAAAACAAATAAACCCAGAACACAAGACGGTCACGTACATTTCAAATACTGAAAGGCACACATTTAATTTACTCAGTTTTGTTTGAATCATTGCATTTTGGGTTATATTTTTCCAGATCTGCTGAAAAGCACGTATGTTTGTGTTTTGACAAACGATGTTGCAACATACTAAATGAAATTGTTAACAAGACTGTCGATGGATATATTCGGAATAGATTTATGTTAAGTTTCAATGGCCAAACACGAGCATTTGTTAGATCATAGCAAAATACGTCTGACTCTTGTTTTTTTTTTGTCTGTACCCTTGCACACAGGTAGAAGTAACTAGGCTACGACCGATGTCAATTTCAGCGAAACAGCACAAAAAATGGTAATGAACTGAGGTGGAGGGGACTCCCCAATAATATGTGAAATGAACGTTACCGAAGTGACGTGACATTCATGTAGTTGATGACAAATAACCTCGTTTGTTACATTACGATTTCTTATATTACTGCGTTAAACCACTTCAGTGAAATGATTTTTATGTCAATAATTGCTTATTTTAAATATTTTCTTATTACTGAGTTGCATATTATTACAAGCTTGAAATGTACGTTACCTACTCATATTCTGAGGCAATCGTGTCTTTATAGTGGTGATTGTGACATATAACACAATGTGATTACATAGAGAATCTTTTTTGGAATAAACTGAAACAAAACGATGAATTTTTAGATGAATTTTAAGCTTTTTATTAAACAGAAATATATTTTGAAATGTACGTTATATTTACGTAGGTTTCTAAATCGGCATGGATATATGTTAAAAAAGACAGTAACTACAAAATAGAATTTTACTACATGTACATGTTAAGTTCCATTATCTAAAGAAAATGACAAGATTCCAAACTGATCGCTCTAAACAAAACAGAGAGAAAAATTTAAAGCATATATTTAAAAAAATGTTTTTATACATCTGGATCAAAAAGTAACCTTTGATTTTGAAAGGAAAAATCAAACGCACGTTCGTATGCCGAGAAAATATGTTGCTGACAGAGTTGGTAGGATGTGCTGGTGTTAAGATGAGATATTCCAATTGTGATTTTAATGACTACATTTTTTTTTACATATCTTTTTGGACATCAAAGAAAGAGTAACGTACATTTCAAGCTACATTTCTTAATAAAATCACCCTCTACTTTACCGTCTTGTCATTATTCCATGTATTAAAATTTGATGAAAAAAAATCTGGAAACAAAATCTTCAGATACTTTCTTTCAAAGGTAATTGATAGAAAAATTGTTATCTTGAACTTCATTTTTTAAAAAATCAGAGAGGCATTTGTGCCCTTATATTGAGAATGGGTGTTGTGCGTATTTTAAAAGGGTTTATTCTTTAAAATCTTAAGGCTGAATTGTTGGCTTTTAGATAAAATTGAAATACTTATTTTTTAGAGAGAAGTGACCAGTAGAGTTGAGGGAGCTTTTATGAAACAAAAACTGAAGAAAATATGGACATCAGTTTATCAAGAGATGATGGTAAATTTCTTTTGTACAACTGTTATGTACCTGATTAATGGTTTATTCTTTAAAATCTTGAAGGCTAAATTATGGCTTAATTTTTTGCTTTTGAATATAACATTAGTATACACATTTTTAGAGAGAAGTTTCCAGTAGAGATGAAAGAACATCAATGAGAGAAATACTAAAGACAATTTGGACATCAATTCACACAGAGCTGATGGTATATTTTATTTTATACATCTTCTAAGTAAAGGTATCATCAATAATTAATGGTTTATTCTTTAAAATCTTCAAGGCTAAACCAAGGATAAATTAGATTGTATTTTTTACATTTATAATGTATAGCCAGACAATATGAACAGTTATTCAAGAAGATAACTTTGTAAGTGGACAGGGCTTTGGGTTTCATATTTCAAAAATGTGTTCCTTGTGACAAGACCTTTCCTAGGGTACCACCAAATTTGACCTCTTGAACTTTGCGTTTGGCCTAAAATTTTCAAATTTTAATCATAGCTATAACTTTGAACAGTTGGTGCTAGGAATTTCATATTTTATATTTGTATTTATTTATCATATTTTTGATACAGACAGTTGTGTCCATGATGGCATTAAAAAGACTGGAAATCCAACAACAAAAGAAATTGACACAGAGCATGTTGACAGGGCTGAAGGTATGTATTAAACCACAACTAAAAATGTAGAAAATCATGTTAAATGTTTAAAGTTTGATTGTACTTTATGTCTATCAAATGCAAGTGAGATTAACTAGGAAAAAACATTTAACATTCTTCCTTTATTTTATATCAGGCCAAAATAAAAAATAGTCTTGTTTCCTGCTACCCGACCTACCCTATTTTTTTGCACCCGACCCTAAAGTGTTTTTTTTTGGCTTTTGGGGAAAAATTTCAAAATTTTAGGAATTTCATATTTCAAAAGTGAAAAAAAAATTATACTCAAGTTGTATTACATGAAATATATTTATAAAATATGGACTTACATAAAATTCCACTTGAGTTGTGCAACAAAAGACATGGAATTTCATTTTAAAAGATGATATCTACCTAGCTATGACATGTTTAATTTGGTTTTGTAGTAGTTCAAAAAATACTATTGGAAAAAATAAAATAAAATTCAAAAATAAAATAATTTTCCTACCTACCTACCCTATTTTTTTCTGGCTGGTAGCAGGAAACAAGACTAATATTTTTTTGGCCTCATCATTAATTAAGATTATCAACTTACTTTTTAAATTTCATTGAGGATGGGACTACTTATATCAATAAGTTTAAACCAACAAGAGAATTTATGCAAGTGTAAAAATATTGAATACACAGGATGAAAATATTTGTTAGAAAGAGGTGTCCAAAAGAACGGAGAGAAAATTAATGAAAGAAAAACTAA